CGCGTGCTTCTGGAGGGCTGGGGGCAGCTTCGCAAACTGCTCGCTCAGCCTTCCTCCCTTCGTACCTCCGCGCGGAGGCGTCCGTCTTCCAGCGACCCCGCCGCTTCACCTCGCTCAACGGCCTGAGTCCGTTGACGAAGTCTCGGCTGGCGCCGGCGTGCCTGAGAAGGTAGGGCATCGGCGCGGGCTCTAGGCCGAGGCGGCGGGCCGCGCGTCTGAAGATCTCGGCGAATTGCTCTACCGAGAAGCTGAGCAGCGCGGCGTCCGGCGGCTTCGCAGCGGTCAGTCTCCGCAGCACGCCGCCCAGCCACAGGTCGCAGGTGAGGTCCAGCACGAGACTCTCGTCGAACTCCGCCGTCTTGCTGGGCCGCGCCTCCTCGCCGTCGTGCGGGTGCAGCACCAGGGCCCACTGCCGCAGGACCTGGCTTCCCGAGGCGCGAGGCGCGATCGCGTGCTTGACTCGCACGCGGCCCCACTCTCCTGGTCGCATGTAGAACATCATCGACAGGACCACGCACGCCGCCGCCTCCCATAGGCCCATGCTGACCAGCTCGCAAGCCAGGGCGGCAACGACCTCCTCGGGGAGCGGCAGCTTCGTCAACGGCGGCGTCAGCACCTTCCAGCCTCGGAGCGACTGCCTGGCCCCGGGCAGACGAGCACCGCCGTCGCGGCCGAGACGCGGGTCGCTCCACTGCAGGGCGGCCAGCATCTGCACCCCGCGCCAGTGATCGACGCCCTCCAGGTACTGCCCCAGCATCCACTCCGCAAGGCTGCAGTCCAGCGCGGCGGCGGCCTCGGGCGCCAGCGGGATCATCCTCCGCTCGTCGAGGGAGAACGTTGGCCGCGCAGGTAACCCTTGCTCCACCAGCCACTCGTCGAACTCGGCGGCCAGCTGCTGGTACCTCGACCTCACTGTCTGTGTCCGCACCGTGCTCAGCCGCAGCACGTCCAGCGTCCCCGCGTCGGCCAGCTTGGCTCCGCGCCGGGCCAGCTTCCTCCGCTTCACCTTGTCGGCCGCAGGCGGAGCCCGCGCCTCGGAGAGCGGTGGCGAGCCAGCCAGGTCGTCGCAGAGAAGCCTCCGAAGCGAGGGCGCTGACGTCGCCCGGCTTGGCGGCACCGGGCGGGTCCTCGGGACCGAGCGGGCCTCTCCCTCCGGGGCCGTCGCCTGGCGACGCTCCAGCCTGGCCGACTCCACCGCGAGCGTATCCAGCGTGCCGCAGCCCTCGCGAAGGACCGTCGGCGAAGTTCCACTCGCTAGGCAGCCAGCGGGCACTGAGCCGGAGTCCCGTCGCCGCAACATGAGCTGCCACAGAGCGCAGGGCGCCGCTGACGCCGGGGGCCGAGGATCGGCCCTTGCCCAGAGCCAAGACAGACGAGAGCGAGTCGGAGAGCAGGAGGTGGTGGCTCTCAAAGGCCTTCGTGGATCTGCAGATGTGCTTAACCCCGAACGCGATGGCCCTGGCCTCCCCCTCCACGATGTTGTCAGGCGGGGATCCCCACTTGTGCGACCCTACGACAGCCCAACCTTCCTCTCGAACCGCCTCGGGTAGACGTCCAGCGGCCCGCGTGCGGGCCTCCTTGCTAGCCTCCTCATCCCCCACGAACTTCTGGAAGTCCTTGGAGCTCTCTAGGGGCTTCGTGATGATCTCGTCCTCACTGGAGCCTGCAGCCCAGGCCCGGGAGAGCGCCTTGTTGTCGCCCAAGAAACGCCATCGTTCTGAGAAACAGCCCATCGAGCCCACGAGGTCCTTGTCGAGGTCCTTGCAGACCAGTCCGAAGCCCCAAAAGGACGCGTCGGTGCACATCACCTTGGAACTCCATGACACCTGCAGCTTCCTGGAAATCAGACACAGCAAACTCGAGAACGTACTGAGCTCCCATCGGACGGACTCCCACAGAGGGACCGCGGCACAGTGGCCCAGCCGCCGAATGAAAGTATAGACGGACCTGAAGATCGACAAATGCTCACGACAAAGAAGTGCCACAAAAGTACAATGGCCTAACACCCTCTCAACTTCTTTGGGACTCACGACGGCCTTGCTTGTCAAACAATCGAGCGCCAGGCGAAGTCTCCACAGCCTTGACCTCTTAGGTCGAATCTCTCTCTCTCGCCCTCGAATCTCCCACCCCAGGATGTCGGCATCGTGATCACACATACATACTTCATGGGTGGGTAAACCCCTGGACGTCAAGGCGGCGTTGACAAGCTTTACTGCGCGCGAGACGGCCTCGGGATCCGTACCCAAGGCAAGAAAATTATCCACATAGATAGTCATCGCCAGCGGCTGCACTGGCGGCACTACACTCTTGTCCGAGATGAACGGAACGTCGTGCAGCGCGGGGATGGAGCTCACGATCCCGCGGTGAATGGTCTGGCACCAGTACAGCGCATGCGACCAGCCCATGGGTAACACCGCAAGGACTGGCCACACACGACTGCCAGGCGCGAGAGACCTTCCGCCCAGGACAGTCAGCCCCACATCACCTGCCTTCACCGCCGGCAGCGCGAAGTACTCACGGAAAGCCTCAGGCAGCCCGAAGTGATAGAAGGCGTCGCAGATGTCCACGTGACCGACGTATAGCTGCTCGCCCTCCGGCACGGCCAGCTCTCCCAGTGCTGAGCCTGTCGCCAGCGCGACTGTCGAAGGCCTCCTGAACCAGCAGTTGGCCCGCCGGCAGTCTATCACCATGCGCTGCTTGCCAGACTTCTTACGCACAAAGAAGAGGCCGCACTTCTCTCGCGGCGCGGCTGAGAAGGTCACCATTCCCGCCGTATGCAAACGCCGCACCAGCCCAGCATAAGCACGTGGCTGAGCTCGTAGAATAGCATCCATGTACGGCTGCCGCGGAGCCTCGGAGAGGTTGGACTCCGCATCCTTGCGTGGAAGGAGCTGCTCGTGTATTGCTGCTTCGACATCAATATCGCCCACGCCTGCCACCAGCTCCCCGAGCGGCACAGGAACGTTGCCGGCCTCAGGCAGCGAGACGAGGGAGTCGTCGAAGCTAACGACTGGCGAGTCGATGTCCTCGTGCACGCCAGCACCGCGGAGCTCACGCAGGGCTCCGGCGGGAGTGAGGCCAGGTGGCGGGGGACCCAGCGCAGCAGCAGCATGACGAACACGCTCATGTACCAGGCGATGGGGCAGCCGCTCCGCCAGGCCCGGAGCGCCAGGCGCCCCGAGCCGACCAGCCAGATCATTGAGGGCCCCGAGGGCGCGGTTGGCTTCAGCCACATGAGCGTCTCGCCGAAGCAGCCGCCGCCGTACCGAGCGGTTCACCACGCCCTCCGCGGGAGCCAGGCCGTCCCGAAGCAACGGGACAGGAAAAAGATCTCGACGGTCTGGAACTCCGTCAAATTGAATTCGCCCAGGTACGCATGCAGGAGAGCCCTGGGGCTCGGCGGCCTTGGAGCTCGAGAAGGAGGCGGCCGCACTCAGGCCCCCTTCCCGCGACACCGTCATGACTTCCCTCCGCCGCCATCCCCCTTGGGACCCTTGCGGCGGAGCTCTCGTTCTTCTCTAGCCTTCCTGATGTTTTTCATGATCGCGGCATCCTTCTCGACCTGGCCCTTCACAAACTCGAGGAGCGCGGGGGCCACCATCAGCAGGTCCCCCGCCTTGCTGAAGCCGCTGAAGGCCGAGAACTCCTCAGGACTCATCTTGTCCTTGGAGCTGGCTGAGTCGGCCTCCCGCAGCCGATCGTGGTAGCTCCACTCGATAGTCTGCGCCCGCCGAAAGATGGCCTCGGCGAAGGCACAGTTGCTGAGGTCCAGCTGGTCGTAGGTGCCAGCCAGCTCGATGTACTTCATGAGCTGCTCGTGCTCCTGCACCCCCCACTGCTCCGACTGGAGCCGCGCGGTCGTCTTGAACATCAGGTGGTGATCCGTGGGGGTGTGCCGACGCCGCAAGAAGTCCAGGCACCACCAAGCAGAGCGAGGCCCCGCCACTGGGAAGTCGCCGAACGGCTCCTCCTCACAGGCGTCCACGACCTCACGCCACTCTCGGCCTCGGCCCCGCGGCCCATTCTTCACCGCCAAGGTTCGAGCGTCTCCTCCTCCTCCGCTCTCGGCGCCAGCTCTCAATGGTTGCCCTTCGCCAACCCGTAGGCTCATCACGAAGGAGTCCTGGTCGAGGCCTGTCAGGTGCACCACCACGGCCCGCCCAGGAGCCGCCAGGAACAACCCCTTGCCACAGAGCGAGTGAGCAGGAGGCCCCAACTCGTCGCCCAGCGCGATGCGGCAGCGCTCGTCAGCCTCGGCTGCTCGCCACACGCGGCCGCTCGAGCGTGGCGTGCTAGTGCCCTCAACCGCGGCCCCCGGGGCGCCGCTGTCGCCAACGCCCTCCGCGGCCGCCGCTGCCGGTCCAGAGGGGCCTCCGTGGTCTCCTCCGAGGTCCAAACCCAGAAGCGGCCTCTTGCCTGTCATCCGTCGACCGCCGAAGAAGTTGGCCCCGAGGGCCTCCTGCACTGCCACATCCCTGCCTGCGGCCGTTCGCACCGCCACCGGCGTCTCCAGGAGCACCCCGCGCGCCTCGGCGTCGGCCTGGGCGGCCGAGTAGGCCCGGCGGTAGAGGCCCTTCATAACCTCCTCCGTCGGGACCTCCTCGAAGCGATACGCCCGTCCAAGCCCACTGGGCAGCCGCAGGTCGCGCGGCATCTCCAGCCACTCCACGGGACTGTCGTCGGGCGAGCCTCCCTCAAGCTCCTCGATGTACATATCGTGATCGGGAGTGTACACCACCCAGCACACTCCTGGGAGCCCCGCGCCTGAGGCCTCACTGGCCGCTGGGTACAGCAGGATCCGCTCGTGCCAGAGGTCGTCCCCGCCGTAGCGCACCACTGCTCTGCACCCCGGGAGAAGCCGACACGACGATCCCCTGGGCACCAGCGCCATCGCGAGGCTCAAGGCGGACCGAAGCGGCGAGGCTGAGGCGTCCAAGACCGAACCCCGCAAGCAGCGCAAGTAGCACCAGTGCTATCGTGGCTCCCCAGCCGACACAGCC